ACAATTTCTTGCGGCGTCCCTTGCGCCACGATTCTACCGTTGTCCAGGACCACTACCCTACTCGCGAGTGGGACCGTGAGTGCCACGTTGTGCGAGACCAAGATACAAGTCCGGTGATCCATCAGGTTGCCGGTGAGAGCTTCTTCGAAGATGTGCTTGGCCGTGTGAGCATCGACGGCACTGAGACAATCATCGAGAAGAATATGCTTTGAATTCGAGTAAATTGCTCGGGCGAGCGATATTCTCTGTTTTTGACCTCCTGATAAAGTGATCCCCTTCTCACCGACAAGTGTCTGATCACCAGCATCAAGTATCTCTAGATCACGTTCCAGAGCACAGATTGAGATGACCTCATTGTAGCGATCTTCATCGTAGGGACTAGCAAAGAGAATGTTTTCTTTGATTGTCGCATTGACCAGCCACGCCTGCTGTGCGCAATATGCCACGCTCTCAGTCAGCCCCGTCACAGGGTCGGGGCGTAGATCTTGTCGTACAGATCCGCCTGGGATGTGGACAGCACCACTGAGTAACTGCATTTCGCCCAGCAGAGCCATCAACAAGGAGGTCTTGCCGGCTCCCGTCGGTCCTGCGATGACGTTCAATTGGCCAATGGAGAATTCAACGTTCATGGCGATGAGTCTGAATGCCTCACTTGCATCTTCATTGGTTGTTCCCCAAGTTAAGGTGGCATTTTCCAGCGCAATGCGAGTTACCGGTAGACTTCTTCGTCTGCTCTGCCGCAATTGCAGATATTTTTCCGTTTCTGCTTCCTCCAGGAAATGTTCAACTCGATCGACAGAAACCTTGGATTCTTGAACGTGAGCCACCATATCGGCAAGCTGATCCAATGGAATGCGGAGTAGAGAGAACATTGACAAGGCTGGGAACGCGACTGACGGCACCAATGGTCGCTTCTCGACTCGAGTATACATGAGGAAAGAGACGAAAGTGATTAGAATCGGGACACCACTCCAGATGGTAGCTGCAGATGCCCACAACACGTATTTGCGCCACAAAGCAGACAGCTCGATATGTCTTTTCTCGTTGACATTGTTCTGGAAGCGCTGTTCCCAGGCGAAATACTTGATGATTCTGATATTTTGGAGAACTTCGTTCGTAACGTGAATTCTGCCATCCGTAGCTGTCATGATTCGTTTCTGGGCCGCTTGAAAGGAATGTGCGATGTAGAGGTTGAGCGGCAGAATAAGAATCATCACGAATATGCCAACGAAAGAGCTGTAGCCAAGAACTTTGTATAGCAGGCTCACAGCCATAATCAATTGCACAGGCACCGCAGCCCAGAGGAAATGTAGATAGGCACAGACTTCAGCGACCTTGAAGGAATCGATGGACATCAAGTTGATAATCGTGCCGTTGTTCGCTTGGGTTCGGATGGTCTTCTTAGTGCTGGCGTCAGATGCATCATCCTGCTGTTTTCGACCCCTTCCGTTACACAGTGACCCGATCTTCGCCCAAAGACCTTCTTTCTTTCGAGGAGTTTCTTCTTCAGGCTTGACATCAGCGGTCGCTGCCGCCTTTCGCCTTAACGTCTTTGAGTAGATTTCGCCAATAATGATAGCACGCAACTGAATGCAGATTTTTCGACCGATCCACAAGCCTTGACCATCGCCGACAGCCTGTACAGCTCCCGTGGCGAAAAGAAGGATGACATACAGCCACGCAGCACTAACGGGAACTGTGTCTGTGTTTTCCAGGTATTCTAGAACGGCTTTCAGAAGGAGAGTTGGAAGAAACATGAAGACGCTGGCCAGCATGCACCATGCGCCTTGAATCAAGATCGGGGCCTTGAAGTGCAGGAGTAGTTGGACGGCCAGCGAATGGGTTTTTCGAATCTGGCGAAACTGGGCTAGTACCGTCTCTGCCTTGTCTTCCAAAGCCAAGTTCCAGACATCAGTGAGCTCCAGAGTCTTCCTGAAGCCTTTCCAGACGATGGGGTCGACCCAAGTAAAGGTTGCCAGAGATAGGACGCTGGCGAGAGGTTCCCGGGACGGTTCAATGCCATCCTCGTACTCCAACAAAACACCTTTGTTTCCTTTTCGAGCTGTGAGTGCAAGCACGACAAGCGTACACGTGATGGCAAAGGATACGATTGTCAAGGTCTGAGAAGGTTGTCCGGGGCGGTGAATAAGAACTGAACGGAAGACCCAAACTTGGCAAAGCCATTGCACGATGTACAGCGTTGAACTGTGATTCCAGAGGCCCTTGAGAGGAGACTGCCACCTTGTTGTCGATGAGACCAGACGTGCCCCAGCGATAACCAGAAGATATGTCCACACAGCGGTCTCTGATGTCCAACTTCTTCTCTTCCGGTGCGATGTGTTCAAAATGCCAACGACGTTTACGGCAAGTTGTGCGGATAAGAGTAGGAATTCAAAAGTGACCATGAAAACTTCTCCGGTAGGTTTGTTCACATCCTTCGTTGAATGACCCCCATGCGAATATGTCTTTTGTAACGTCAGCCTAGCAAGGCTATCATCGTCTTCATCGCTAGACTCGTGCTCCTCCTCGCTAGTATCGACCAGGAGATCTCGAGGCCGGTTGTGAAGTCGAGTCGTCCTTTGCCACAGCGATTGGTGGAGTAGAAGCAAGAGAGATATCGCACATGCCAGCAAAGGAAAGAGAGCCTGGAGATAGCTATTTGAACTCGATCAGCACATAACGCCGGAAAAAACATGCGAGGTCACATACTCGGACTGGAAGCATGGAGACAAGTCGTCGACCCGCCATATCGGGCTGCTGCAATGCGCGAACATTGCCGCAATTGATTTTCCACAGCAGTCACCACTCTTCAATCGATGCGGGGACGGCAAAATTCATCTCGAACTGAACAAGCAGTGAGTGCTAGATGATACTGATAGGGACAGGATTAAGAGCACGTCCAGATGAAAATACGACAAGAGTCAATTCCATAACTGAATCACATGGGCAGAGAAGACCTAAATGGACATGCTCGGTTGTTATTGTCGAAGTGGTCCCTCTTTCCGCGGTCAACACATTTACCAAGCCTCTGACGCCACTTATTACTTGCGGTCAAACTTTCCTACAAGATTGATGTTTAGGCATGGCTGAGCCGGGAAATGAGGATGGAAGGTGAGTGGCTGGAAGGCGCGAGACTTTCCTCGGGCGCTCTCGGGGGCGATCGGGGTACAGGTATCTGTGAGCAGTGGGTAATAGGGACGGCCGAAGCCCAATATGACAGCCTGGTGACCCAGTGTGGTAGCCGACCATCCGGCTGCGGACCTCTTGTTAGTCTGGCACGTCAACGGCTTTATCACCTCATATAATTGCTGGATCTCATCTCACTCACGACTTCGACCGCTTCTTCTGACAATTATTGGAAAGTCGCTCCTTTCCTCTCTGACTGATCCTCGTTCACGAATCTTGTTGCTGTACAGTCTATTGTATTCTTCTGGGAACTTGCCACACCTCTTTCTGGCCGTCAGACCCTGGAGATTCGTTCTCTGAACCGATTGTGAACAATGTATAGTTGTCGGTAACAATCACCTGCGGCGGTTAAACAAACACCATTCAAACCTTTTATTCACCCTGAGGACAATCACTCCGGAGTTATCGCTATTCTACCTCCTCAAACGCTTCCCCCAACCAAGTCTCCTTCTCCCTTCCAACCTCCATCTCTCGGTCTTTGTCTCCCCCACCACACGCGCCACCCTCTGTCGCAACAATTTCGCCCAAGATGTCTCAAGCTGTACTCATGAAGGAATATAAGGCATTAGCCAAGGAGAAATGGGTTCAAATCGAGGTTGGATGTGGCACAAATCTTCCCGTACATTAAGTCTGACCTAGCCAGATCGATGAAGAGAACATCTACCACTGGAATCTGGCCTTGATGGTCATCAACCCTGATTCACTCTACTATGGTGGTTACTTCAAGGCTCAGATGAGCTTCCCCAAAGACTATCCTTACAAGCCACCGGGTAAGCATATCGACCCCGTCAGAGTTCGTTCGAGACTGACTCATTCCAGATTTCCGCTTCTCCAAACCACTGTGGCATCCAAACATTTATGCCGACGGCCGACTATGCATTTCCATTCTTCATGCCCCAGGCGAGGATATCATGTCTGGCGAAAGCGCTGGTGAACGCTGGTCGCCGGCTCAACGTGTTGAATCGGTGCTCATCTCCATTCTTTCTTTGCTCGATGATCCCGAGATATCTTCCCCAGCCAACGTCGACGCCAGCGTCATGTTCAGGGACGATAAGGAAGCATTCGAGGCGAGAGTCAGACAGGACGTTGAAGCCTCAAAGAAGGACATTCCGGAAGGGTTCGTCATGCCTACACACGAAACGACCATGCCAGTCATCGAGAAGATAGACGATGATTTCTGGAACGATAGTGACGCGGAAGACGTGGATTTCGATGATTTCGACGACTTTGATGACGATGCAGCCAACGGCAGCGAATCGGATCAGGAGTTAAACAACGAATCTGAAGACGAGGAAAACTACGAGGACGATGACGATGAGGATGCGAACCATGTTAAAGGCAAGACTCGGGGAGATCAACTCGACTCTGACATGGGAGAACCCAAGGAGTAAAGGACCGTGGCGTCTAGGATATGGGCCGGTGCTAGCACACTTCCAATTTGCCAACAGGAGTTTGCGACGGATTTCCGCTGGCGGTGATCGAGACAAGAAGACTGAGGCTAGGATCTCCGTTCGAGGTTTGAGGGGGATAGTCATTTTCAAAGCCAGTCATTCGAATTCAGCGAAGGCGTCTGGGGTTAGTGTGCATAGGAATCCATCATGAAATAAGGGGGCAGCTCTCTGAGAATTCATAATGCATCTTATGGGAAAGCAACCCGCATGCTACCCCTGCTTAAGTTCTGCTTGCCGTGTGGTAGACAGGTTTCAAGGTTGGGTTCTCTGCAAAACAGAATATTAGTTGTCCTATGCTTGGGCTTCTATGCAGTCGTCGTCGTACAAGAGATCTGATCAGCACCGCTGGCACGATGGCGCGCCTCATTTAGCCAGCCGCAAAATCTCTTGCACACATCTTTGGGGTTGCTCCTGGTTCACCCAGTGCCCGGCTCCATCGACAAGCACAGTTCCTCGATACATAGACTGGTTTACACTCTGACCATTCTCCATAGCCTCCACGGCACCCGGTTCCTGGAAGGTGCCCCAATCCTGTTTGCCGGCCACAAACACGGTCGGGACGGAAATCTTTGCGCCAGACCACGCTTGCATATCCGATGCGATGTCTGGCTGCGTCTGCACGCGGTACCAGTTCAGACCACCTAGGAACGAGGTACGGCCCCATTCCTGGACGTAGATGGCGAGTTCGTCGTCCGGGAGCCAGCGGGCAGCACGCGAGGCAACGACTTGCGGATCTTCCTGGGCCATGTCTCGCGCCACGGCCTGACGCATATTGTCCTCCAGATCCATGATGTAGTACCGTGGCATCTTTTCCAGTTCCGTCGCGGTCCATCCGTCCAGTTTGTGCGGGTCGTTGACGTCCCAGTCCGCAGACTTTAGGTGGAAGTAGCCGCGAAGAAACGTGTGCAAAGGCGGACCCGTGGGGGTGGTCATTTCGTCGTTTGAGGGCGGGGTGCAGTAGTACCATTTGTAATGTTTCCTGGGGCGGGCTAGTTGGGAGAGATCTTTTTCCATGTCGACCGGTGGTGGCGGTGCCGTGGAGGCGGTGCCATAGGATGGAGAGATGGAAAGAGGAGGCTGAGGAGCCCCTTTCGAGGGATGCGACATCATCACCAGGGACTGGAACATGTCCGGTCGGGCGAGGGTACATATGTATGCGGTCATTGCCCCAAAGTCATGCCCTGCGACGCAGGAAACGGAGGTATAACCAAGAGCATGCACCAGCGTGACCGTATCTTTGACGAGGTTCAGGGGACGAAACGAAGACGCCTCAAGTGGTTTGCGGGAGAAAGTCCTCCCATATCCTCGCTGGTCAAAGGCGACGGCATGGTAGCCTTGTGCGGAGAGCAATGGAAGGATTTTGCGCCACGAGTATGCGAGCTCTGGGAACCCGTGAATCAAGAGAATCAGCTTTGGCTTGGGGCCGGAAGGCGGGAGGTTCTCTGGCAGCGATTCGAGGATGTGGAAGACGAGGCTGTGAGGCGAAGTATCGACAAAACGAGATCTGATACCGGCGGGCAATGGAAGTGGTGACAGGGAACTGGGATCAATGGCATCCGCCGGCGATTCTTGATGAGTGTATGCCATGGTCAGGCAAGATCTATGGAGGGACTCTAAAGAGCCAGATTGTTGTAGAGAGATATCAGGAAAAGTCCTACGAGTACTCGATACCAACCGTATACAAATACTCTCGCGATGCGGGGGAAGTGATGCTGACGACGCCCTCCGAACAGTACTAATCGTGTAATGAAGTGCCAGGTTATCGTCTGACGACTCGTCTTCCCACCGCCAGTGACCGAGGCAGGATTCTAGCACGCTGCCAACGGTCTTTCTGTTGACCAATATCCATTCAGCGTTATAACCGGAGTCTTGCCCTTCATATACGAGAGTTGCAAAAGAACGTCTTGTCTATTACCGGCAGACCTCTTGCCCCTTCGGGCACCGGATCTCATTTGTCCAGACGGGGTGACTGCTTACTTTAATACCCCGAGCCTGATACCATGGTGGGCCGAGGGACAATCCAAAGCGTGGCATGATATCCGCCTTCGTGCATACGGCATATAAAGGACAAGTGGCTGGAGGCCGGCAGTGGTTTCAAAAAGGATCTGATCTCTTGTTAGTAATCGATTAGACTCGAAAAGGAATCTAGAGGGATCTGCAGGTTCCGTTGCTGGACGGAGGGTACAATTCAGGGCAAGGTAGCCAAAGGGATGCGGAAGGGAATGCCGAGGGTGATCCATGCACGTGGCTATCCCATTGATTTCCGGATTCTGCACATTTGATGCCTTGAAAGAGTCGTCGGTACGTTTAAGTGATACTTTTCTCAAAGAAGGTGATTGTTTGACACGGAGAGTTTGGAGAGTGCATCATCAGCATGAAAAAGGCATGACGTAAGGATTGTCATGCATTATGATTGGTATGTGATCATCAGCCCCACCGCCAACCTCGAACCCCCCCCCCAAACACAGCCACAAGTCGATACCTTCTCGACTTGTCACCAGCCGCCTATTCAGCTCAGTCGGTACCTAAGTGTCCACTGTCGCCCACTGCCCAGTAGTGCCCAAGTAGTAGAACTCAGTAGCTTCAGACCTGCTACGACTCCAGTACTCGTAGATACTTACTCAGTTGTTGGCACTCTAGCCCTTTTTCCGCCCCCATCTTTCCTTGGTTACGGAGCTCCCATCTCCCTCACTCCCGCACCGATCCACACCCCAAATCATACCTACCTTGGTATCCCAGAAAACAATCCATCTGTCGCAAAACTGCGACGCACCTCTTCCTTTCCATCGTTGTTTTCGACCTTGTCAGGCGGGAGAGCTCACCTTGAAGCGACATGGGGCCTGTTATCGCTCTTCATCCCTTCGATAACCACTTCAGCCGCTTGGTTTGATACCTCGCTTCCAGTTCTCCCGTCTGCGATCCTGCATCATTCTCCATTGATCGCGTGGCAATTACAGCACCACCATCTCGAGCACCATCGCAACCATGAGTTTCTTGCACAGAAGGAGCAGGTCTGTGTCGGCCTCTGTGAGTAATCCCTTTCGGCGCCCCATTCGGTCTTGCCATCCAGTCCAGTGCTGACGTTTGCTCGACTTCAGCGGCCCCAGACTCCTGCTTCAGCTTCCGCCCATCTGGCGGCCACTCAGGCATTCCTCAATAGTCGGGCCTCGCAGGCAAATCTGTCAGCTTCTGCCGCTGCCCAAGCCCTGAGAACCATGTCTCCGACTCCGACCCCGGTGGATCAGATTCAGACAAAGCGCATGATTCAAAGGCAAGCCTCCTCCGGTTCTCTCTCAAGTTCAGCCCGGGGTCGAGGAAGAGGCGGCTTGCAGAGGCAAAACAGTTCTGGGTCTATGACTGAGAGGACGTTTAGAACTCCATCACCATCACCTGCGCGACCTGTCTCGCACTCAGGACTCCAGGCCCCTCCGCTACCGACTATTCCGCAACACTTTGCTCCTCCCCCTCCTCCTCCCCCAACGACACCGCCCAAGAAGAAGAAAAAGAGAGCATCCAGCCAAGAAGCTCCTCAACCTCGCGTGCTCTCACCACCACTGGTGCGACCATCAAATCGCGGCCAGAGTCTTGACAGGTACGGATTACCGCAGCAGCAACAGCCGTTGCCACCGAACGTTCAGAGGAATACCCCAGTCTCCCAGAGCAATGATCTTGAACGGGTTGATAGCCGGAACTCCATCAATTTTTCGAGACCTTTGTCGCCGCGACCCCAGTCCCCGGTGGCGCAATCCCCGATGGCGCATTCTCCGGTTATCGTGAACGGTGATCGATCTCACTTTAGTGACGTCGCACAAGCGATATCTCCTACCCAAGCCGCCGAGATTCAACACGACCTGGTGCAAACAGCAAACCAGCCCGTTAAGAAGAAGAAAAAGAAGGTGGCCAACAGTGCAGTGGAAGGTGGTCATCTTCAGACTGGGACAATGGCGAGCAGACCAATCGTCCATTCGCTAGAACCAATTCCGGAACCACAAATACAAACTCCCTCAGATCAACAGCCGCTTGTTAGAAAAAAGAAGAAGAAGCCTACATTGAATGGGGATGGTATTGAATCTCCCGCCACCGAGTCGTCGCGGACAGACTCGGACTCGGACTCGAATGTCGAGCGCAAGCGAGAAAGGAGAACCCAGCGAGCATCGGGAGTTTTGCAGAAACAGCCATCTATCGTTCGGGAGGACTGGGAGGGTGAACAGCAGGAGCAAGCCAGCCCACTTCATACCAGTCAAGGTGCAGATACAAACACGAATACTGCGCCGGAAGTGACACTTCGCAATCAGGTAAAGAGTCCTACGGATGCAATCGATCCTCCTCGGAAGACAGAGTCAGCCATCTCGCCATCCGCACCTAATCAATTTCGTTCTCCGCAGACGCAAGAAACTCACTCACAAGCTGGGCGTGAGGAATCGCCAGCTTCGACCAGTCACCTCCAAGTTACCGAACCCCAGAATACTCGGGGTACTTCGCTCAGTCCTTCACGGTCCACTCGTTTCTCGGACAGGTTGTCTTCAGATCTTGCTGCAGGGCGAAAACACGAGCCTCCTCCGCGGTCGATATCACCGGCTAAACCTGCGCTCAAGCATCATTCCCCCACACCAGCATTTTCTCGTGGCGAACCTCGTGGCGCTAGTGTTACCCCGAGTGAGTCCTCTGATATATCGAGCGCGTCAGCCGACGGTCCTCTAAAACGAAAGAAGTCTGTGCGGGTCAGCTTCGAGGTTCAGCCAGAAATAGTTGGTACCGCCGCGAGTGTCCAAAGTCCGGCAGATAGCCCGAGCAGAGAGAAAAAAGGATGGCTTGGCCTGGGAAAGGCCAAATCGACGCAGAACACCTTGTCTTCCAACGACGACATGGAAGTGTTGATGAAGCCACGCCCGCAACTTCCATCATTTGGAAGCGTTCGCGGCCAAAAGTTTAGAGATATCAACGATTCCAACACAACCCAAATACCGAGATCTCCTCCGGAAACTCGTGGCCCGCCCGCAGAGGGTAAGAGTACAACCTCCTCGGCGGCGTCTTCAGAAACATCGAGCACCTACACCTCAAATCTGGTAACAGGTGTATCAAGCGATCATGCCGTTGGGGCTATATTTGCTCAAGAAGCTCGGAAGACCTTGGGGCAGGCGTCTGCAACTCCAAACAATGAGCCCCTGCCACCCGAGGTAACATCCGTAGAAGGCATGGTGTCGTTCTCGGACGAAGAAAATGACAGTTCGGACGCAGAAGAGACGATGCCCGAGCCCCTTGCTCGCGGACCTAGCGAGCCGGAAACACTTGCTGGCACGAAGACTAGCTCTGCGAAAGCAACCGACCAACCTGTCTCGTTTGAACTTCCCCAGACAGAGGTACCTGTCGTCTCCGTTTCGCCACCTACTCCGGCTGAAGAGGCGAAACCAAATGACCAATATTTGGTGGAGGTGCCAGGAGGGTTCCCCGTGTCTGCTGACAACCTAGCCGGCAAGGGTGATGAGTTGCGCACAGTACGCAGAGCACCGCCCGTTGCGAGTGTGACCCCCGACCTGGACTCACATGCAGCCACGGAAGCCGTCGACGATGAAGTGTCGGACAATGATAGCATTTACAGCGACGCGGCAGAGGATCCCTCAGAGATGGAAGGGATGGGATTCGGCTCAATTGACGCCATTGTGGAAAGTCCCATTGTATCTCCGCCAGCTCTTCTTACTTCACCCGAGAGTCCTCTGGCGCCGGTATCATCTTCCAATTCTCACGATGCGCGGGGCGCTGGGTCGTGGGAGGAGACACAGGCTCACTGGAGCGGCATCGCAGAACAGACGCGATATCTCCCTAGCCAGCACACCATTGAGAACAGACCTGCACCTCCGACTACTGGCCACAATGTGCCGCAGCCGGCTCGAATTCCTGATCAGGAGCCTTTGCAAATGAGGACTACGGAACCTGCCACGATAGCATACAGCAAGATAACACAGCCTGCACAGCCTCGACCTGCACGTGCCCCTGCATCAAAATCATCTGCATCACAGCCTAGACGCAAGAAGAAGACGCCTGCTGCAATTGCTGCCGCCGCGTCTGTACCTGCGGCAGCGGCAGCTGCACAAGGACTGCCAGACTCACCACTGCAAAGAAAAATGCAACCGTCTGCCTATCCAACAATCGAAACTCATAACCTCGGATATGCTGCGGCCGCCGCTGCACCTTTCCGACAGTCAATGCGAGCCAGCTCTCCCCCGGATACCGAACCCGCGTTCCGCAAGACCATGCGTAACGAGAATCGCAATTCAATGCCAGCTTCAACCGTTGCCCCCCCGCAACAACGAAGGAGTCAGACATTGATTTCTACTCCACCAAATCAGCCCCGCGCAGCGCTTCAGAAGAAACATATGCCTCTCCCCGCGGCGGCCGCAACTTCTGTAGTATCGGCCCGGACACAACCTGTCCGGCCGGTCCTGTCGAATGACAGTGACTCGGAAAGTTCGTTCCGGAAAGCTCGTCGAAGCAAGTCTACTACAGGCGGCAAATATACAATGCGTAGAAGTATGAGAGGGTCGGACGAACCGACTTTGCGAGGAGACAGGCTCAATGGCGTCCGGTCG